ATATATATGTATATGTAAGCATTTTGGGGATAAATGATGTTATTTATAAAGTATTCCCAAATAGGATTGGGTATTTTTAACAACCTCAATTCAATTCAATTGATTTCAGTTATTTGAGTTACAATTTGATTTGCAACTATGGATAATGTTGAGACATTTATGTTCTTGCCCATGTAAACACAAATGGTATGCATTACCATTTTTGAAAAATAAAATATCTGAAAATAAAGCAGTAGCACAAAAATACTTGCTCCAAATATTAACTGCAAACGTAAAAGCATGACAAACTGACCAGGGGATCAAATTTAATTTGAAGGTTTTCTAAATTGATATTGATTTGGAAAAAAAATTACAATGACCTGATGAAGCAATATTCTTACCTACCAACTGGGGCACAGTTATATGTTTTTAATTGGGACATGTAACTGTGACTTCTCAACTGAAAACTATGAAGCTGTGCTGTTTCTTAAAATAGCATTTATAATGGTTACAGGGAGATTATACTCAGGTGTGTGTTCCAGGTGCAAACACACTGTGACTTCAGTGTAGCAGAGCTGTCATTAAAACTGACAGATGAGATGCGCTGAACTCACTGCTGTTCTTCTCCTAAACAGCAGGTGGCTGTAGAAAAAAAAATACTGCTCCACAACGAGAATGGCCCCAGAGGAAGAGTCACACTGGCCGTGTTTCCATCTAACTTTGATTTTGAGCGAACTTTTAAAATGTCGCAAAAAAAAGAAAAAAAAGAAATGTGCATCAGACGTGTTTTCATCATCTGGCTTAAAGCGAATCAACCAGGCTAGGCAAAGAGTAATTACGTCCAACACTGATGTTACGTATGGCTGTAGTAAAAAGGAAGTAAAGTCACAAAGATGCAGAGACTACACATCTCAGTACAATGGAGAGAAGTTATCAGGAATCTGTTGCTACTTTCAAGAAAGTTGTAATTATTCTGTCATATCAACTAGATCTGGCGATGTCACATGCTGTCTGGAGATGTAGAAAAAGAAATGCAATTCTATTCACGTTACGGGAATATCCAGGAAGACGCGACAGCAGGAAGTGTCTGCAGCCACTAACTCTTCACTACGTCAGAACTTATTTGGCAAATGTGTTTCCATTTCCCCTTTTGCGCATTAACTCTTTTTCGGAAAAAAACAAAAACCACCTCAAGTGAACGTAATAACATTTTTTGTGATATTGAGGAAGTTTTTGCAAATTTTCACGTTTCCATCCACCTTTTCAGAATCAGAATCAGCTTTATTGCCATTGTCAGTGATAAACACAGACTAGGAATTTGCAGTTTAGAATATCTGTTCGGAAACAGACACATAGCAAACATGGGGGAACGAATGTCCACAGTCTTTCGTACTTCGGTGCGCTCCCTTTCTAATGCGATACATACATTGTGCATAAAATACGTTGATGGAAACACGGCTACTGTAAATATTTTCATTTACAAACGCATGTAACTAAACTTGCTTTTTTTCCAAGTGTTTATTTTTTAGTTTAAAAACGGACTCTTTTTCAACGGTTTGTGGACTTTGTCCTGCAGCTCTTTTCTGTTTAACCAAGCTCCACTTACGCACCAGGCAATAAGTAACACAAATCAAAAGGTGCACAACCAGCTGAAATCTGACGTCAGATTTGGCAAGCTCTGCCACACAAGATGCCAAGAATGGCAAAAATAAACCTCACTTAAATTTTTAACATTTTCAAACGAATGGCAGAGTTAAAAAAAATAAACATTTCAACGTTGAATTTGACAACATTCTTTCTTCCTTCGTATCTATGAGTAAGAATAAAGAGCAAAAACATCTTGACCACTGCCAGCTGAATGAATGACATTGATTATGTTCTGACACGCAGTGAACATTTGTTTCCTGTGGATGCATTCGAATTGGGATGATGGGCCCACAATGTTTGTGTCAGACCACTGGGAGCATTTCAGAAATGTCAAGGACAAACCACACACTGGGAGTAGGTAGTTGGGGGATGCGCTGTGACAAGTTTAATATGTGGCAGCTTCAGCTCACAACTTACGGGACTTAAAGACTTTGCTGCTGGGGCTTTGAGCCAGAGAGGCCACAGAGCGTGATCACTGTAGATTGTTTGTAAAGCTGGAAGTTATTGGTGATGAATTTACTTAACGCCTGCTGTAAAGGTGAAAGCAGATAGTTTTGCCCATTTGTTAGTGTGTCTGTCTCTTACCAGAACAATTCAGGAACCACTGGATGGATTTTAACACAAATTTCAGGAAATATTTTTTGGTTGTATCTCTGCAATTGGTTACCCTTTAAACCAAATCCCAGTCAACAGGGGCCATCACAAACAAGGCTATAGCTCAGTTCATTTAAAAGATGTTGAGCTCAAATTTGATGTGGTAGTAGCAGAGTAATTAACAATACATAATCTGAGTGTGACACTTCACATATTTGCATGTTATTTTCAAAAGGGCTAAAAATTTGTCATTTCTTTACGGATTCTCAGTCAAAACGTTGTCTTAGTAGACCATAGTTTGTCTTATTTAAATTAATTAAAATACAACACACAGTATATTTATCTCTAATAAAGACAAAGCATTTGCATTTTAGAAGAATGAACTATTGTCCTGATTGACTGACCATTTTTATTTACATTTCTTTCGTTTATGAACTATTTTGCATCAAATTAGAACATAAAAACAAATGTGATTACCAGTAACAATGGTCACAAATTAAAATGAACATATGCAACATTTAAGAGCCAATTAACATGACAAATTGCTCATTAATTATCCAGTTAACACCAGATGAAGAGATTTTGGTAACTGTATTTTTTCGCTATAATAGCAATTATAAAACAAATAATCATCAATTTAGTTATTAAAAAAAGACTAGGCTGTAATGAATCATTCTATTAAGTGCTAAATGAAAAAATAAAATCTGCAAACTGTGAGCTTTCACACATGAGCTGACACTCTGCTTTCAACTCACACTATATAGGATTACAGCTTCAGATAAGATCGGTGCTTTTATCTCTGAGATGACACATTCTGCTCCACCGGAAAGGGTGGATAATGGACACGTGAAATGAGAAAGGATCCTGACAAAACATTTGGAATAAAAATGATTAG